CCAGTAGTCATGAAGCCATGTAGGCAAGTTGTTTTTTTTTTTTTCCTTTCTTCTTTCTTTATAAATCAGGGAAGAAATCTAAAGTATGATAAATCACAAAGCTAGATTACTATAACTACAAGCTTCCAGTGAAATGTTAATGATGTGATGTAACTTAAATAAACAACAACACAAATAGATATCTAAACAAATAGAAGATATTCAAACTTATTCTGATTGGCTAAACAAAGGTATCATTAAGTAGAATTGGTGGTGGTGGTGGGGGGGGGGGGATGCCTTAGATGAGAGTACTGTCCATGAATTTTGTTTTACCAAACTTTTTAATGATTGAAAATTACGGAGAGGGGTGGAGAGCAGAAATGGGGGAATTACCATTGAGAACTAGAATATAAATTAAATTCTTAATGGACTCATCTGGAAAATATGACCGCACTTTCTATAAATCAAATAAACAAAGTATGATGACAAATTATTATGGGTTTCGGCAGATTTGTTTGCATTTCTGCTCATCTTTACTTATAATTTCAGTAGCAGCCCAGGAAAAACTAAAAAAAGGAATAAACAGAGTTCAGAATAAATGACATGAGGAAAGCGAATGAATAATCTTAAATACAACAGAGCAAAACAGACATCACTAATGCTTTCTCTATTCTCCCTTTTTATTTCCAACGTGCTTCCTGGCTCCATGTGTCCCAAATTACAGGTGAGCGCCATTTCAATACACCAGTCACTACCATCACCACAACCAACAAACACTGCCAAGACTGGACAAAAAGAAATCTAATCTATTAAACAAAAGAAACACAATGTAAGCGAAAGATCCACAAAGGAATAATCTATCGTGGGCATGCACTTTGGGTTGTTCAGGTAAAATACAGTAAGTTAGTTATACAGATGCTCACCAAGAGGAACCTGGCCGGAGTTTATCATTGTTATCTAGCAGAGAAATCGCCTGACCTCTGAGCTGCCATTACCCGAAGTCTCCGTGGACTGTTTTAATAGCCTCCATCTATCTTCTCTTCTTGCTTCCTGCCTTACCTGTAACAGCCATTTCTCCACACAGAAGTCAAAATCATCCCTCTGAAACATAAATCATGTATCACGCCACCACACAAAGCTCCTTAAAGAGCTTTCCACACCACTCAGAGGAAAAGCCAAGCCCTCAGTACGGCCTACAAGTCCTGCACGAAGTGGCCCCAGCTCACCTCTCAAACCTCCTCTCTTACCGGCTAACCTGCCAGCTCCGCTGTGCCCCAGCACAGCCAGCAGGCCCCGGGTGGGCACCTGCTCTTCCCCAGGCCAGAGCACCCTTCCTGCAGACAGACCTGCCCGGCTCCCTCACCCTCTTCAAGTCTCTGTTCAAGTTTTGTCTCGATAGGTAAGACTTCCTGACCACGGCCCCTGTTCCTAAAATAGCATTTCTCTCCACCACACCATCATCTTTCACTTCCCTACACTCAAGGGGCCAAAGAGCCGCATGTGGCTCGCGAGCCCCCGTTTGCCAACTACGGTCCTATTGGATTCACCCACACGGCCTCATTAAACATTAATTACCTCCTTCAAGGCCCCATATCCAAATAGTCACAGTGGTGATTAGAGCTTCAACATTTACATTTGAAAGGACACAATTCAATCTATAACACCCATAATTTATGTCTCTGAAATATAGCTATTTGATTTTATTTATTTACTTTATTATTTAAAATTTTTTTTTTTAATTTTATTGATTTTTCCACAGAGAGGAAGAGAGAGGGACAGAGTCAGAAACATTGATGAGAAAGAAACATCAACCAGCTGCCTCCTGCACACCCCCCACTGGGGATGTGCCTGCAACCAAGATACATGCCCTTGATGGGAATCGAACTCAGGACCTTTCAGTCCACAGGCCAATGCTCTACCCACTAAGCAAAGCCAGTTTCAGCAAAATATAGCTATTTTAAGCATCTCTTTTTTATTTTGGAGAATCAAGTTTGTGTGTGGGTTTTTTTTGCTCGGTCTTTTCAGTTGAACGGAGGAGAAGAAACTTTCAGGACTGACTGGGCCCAAAGATCACCTGGCAAGAGAAATGGGCTGAAATGGCGACACGGAGGATTTCAGAAACGAGTTGTTCTCATAAAACACCAAACGATTGTGCCAAACATCTGTGAGTGGCTTCCAAACACCGAGCATTAGGGCACTACAGCTCTGGAATTGTGTTTATTTGTAACGCCTCATACAAAACCCGCAGAAAACCATACTTCTTGTGAGTCCCCGAAGGAAAGCTGCTCCAGTCTCCTGGCTGCTCCTGAAACACACCATGCAGGCTCCCCGCTCCTCCCTGTCCGTCCCCTCCCCCCATCTCCCACCCCCCTCACATACATCCAGGGCCTCCATGCTCCCTGTTCTCATTATCTGGCCCGCTTTCCCTCCAGGTAGCTTCATGGCTCATTTCCCCCTTTATTTAGATTTTCTCCCAGTGTCATCTCCATGAGGTCTTGCTGAAACCATCTATTTAAAATTGCAAACATACTTTCCTCCTGCACTCAGCCTCACCTACTCTCTCTACTTAATCTTTCTCTGTGGCACTTTTTGGGGGAGGGGGAGGGAGTGGTCTAACTCTTCCCTCCAGAAGGAAGGCAAGATGAAGGTGAGGATTCTTGTTGGTCTTCTTGACTGCTATTTCCCCAGCTCCTAGACAGTGCTGGCCCACAGGCTGAATGAATGAATGAATGAATGAATGAACGTCTCCAAGGTCACACAGCTGGTAAGTGGTAGCACAGGCGTTTGAACCCTATCAGACACAAAAGTCTAAAAGCTTAACTGTTAAATTATACTGTCCATCGGAGCGAACAATTCTTAAGTACAAATCTGGTCAAAGGATTCCACTGCTCTTCTCTGACACACACAACAGACTGCAAATAGGAATGGAGAAAAATGCCCATCTTCAAATAATCTTACAGAAACAAATTAATATTCCTTACAGGCATAAATTGTAAAAAATCATTTTTTTAACACTATAGGCAACTGGGCCATCTGTAAAATTAAATATTTTGTTTCCAGGGCCAAAGACGTTTCAAAGGTGAGCAACTGAGTCCATTTTTTGTTGGATAGATACAAAACTGGTTGTAAGGTTTTCCCAAAAGATGTTAGAATTTTATCCCTAGCCTAAATAAGTGGTGTCCTTTATTCATTAATTTACTTACTTGCCAAATATTTATTAACCTCCTAATCTGAGCAGGCACTGTTTTAAGCAATAAGTATACAGCAGTGAACAACACAATTCTATCTTTGAAGGGGAAACAATAAAAACAAAGCTAAAGTTAAGGACTGTATTAATGTCATAAAAAGTACTGGTTTTGATAATAATGGCCTTTGGAATTCATCCCTAAGTGAGTCAGACCATAGTTTTATCATGGTAGCAAAGAGCTCAGACTCTGGGGTCACAAGTTTGAAACTCCATGAAGAGCTAGACCCTTGACAAACTAACTCCTCAACTTGTAATTTCATAACTTGGGGAGACAGAACCCATCCCACAAGGCTGCCAGGAAGATTAAGAGAGAAAATGGGCAAGAAAACACTTATCAGTAGTACGGTGCAGACTAAATAAAAATATTAATTCATCCCATTGTTATGATTGGAATATGAAAGACAACCTAATTCGCCCATTGCATGAAGACAAAGTGAAAGCCCCAGGAAAAGTCCAGGCCTTACACCTAAAGGCATAGTTACTTTTCTCTAGGGGGGAAGCTGCCATGCGACGCTCATTAATGCAGTCATGTAACAAACGTTCACGGGGCCTTCAGTGCATTAAGCCAGGGATCTGGCTAGTTCCTGGGGATCCATCTGTTTATAGGAAAGACATGGTCCCTGCCTTTTTGATGGGGAACTTGCCACATTCTCCGAAGTAGTGGCTATCAGGAGAGCAAACTGAAGACATGCCTCAGTTTCTCGGCAATAAACTGCGACTTAGAAAGAAGCCAGTGTTCACCACGTCCCGCTACAGGAGGCCCGTCCAGCGGAGCTCTGCAGGCAGAGAAGGCCCAGTGCCAAGGTTCGCGGGCAGCAGGGCCCCGGCCGGCCGGGAGCACCTGAAAGCAAAGGGAGCGAGCGACCCAGGCGCCTGTCCGGGAGGGTCCTCTCCTCATTCCACTCCCAGCACGCACCGCCTGGGTCGAATCTAAGTTTCTTGAGGGTAAAAAAAACAAAACAAAACAAACAACAACCAAAAAAGGCCCACAGCCTACCAAAGTTCATGCATGGCACGTCCTAGATACTTTCTAAGCAACTTTCAAACGAACTAACAGAATATCCCAGGTGACATAACCATCTCTTTCCTGTACTTTGGAGCGGGTCTCCTCCCCGGCCCCTCTGTTCTTCCGACGACCGTCAGGGCTACATCTTTCCAAAGGGGAGCCCGGTCCCCCACAGGCTAAAGGGTTCCCAGCTTCCACCCCGCCGAAGGGCCAGCACCCTCCCGGGCGGCCGGCGCCCGCTCCTCCCGCGCCCGGGGCTGCCGGGCGAGCCTGGGGCGCCCGCTCCCCGCCCCCCCGGTCCCCCCGCTCCCCGGCCGCGGGGCCGGGACCCGAACCCCTCCCGGCTGAGAGCTGCCTCCTCCACGCTGCTGTCACAGGCGTCACAGGCGCCAGGGTTCCCCGCATCATCATTTGACATTATCTTTTTAAAACATATACATATTTTATTGATTTTTATTTTACAGAGAGGAAAGGAAATCGACCAGCTGCCTCCTGCACACACACCCCGCCCCCTTACTGGGGGTGTGCCCGCAACCAAGGCACATGCCCTTGACCGGAATCGAACCCGGGACCTTCCGGTCCGCAGGCTGACGCTCTATCCACGGGGCCACCGGGGCCAGGGCCGTTTGCCATCATCTTGATGGATTCAGTGCTGAGGTCCTTCCGCCCCCGGCTCGCGCGGTTCCGCCCGCCTGCCGCTGGAGGGCGCGCTTCGCGGGGCGGAGCCTCCTCTCCGCCTCCGGGCCCGCCCCACCCGCCGCCGTTCACCTGCTCCGCCCTCGGCCTCCGCCAGGGGGCGCGCCTCCGCGGTCCGGCCCTTCGCCGTCTCCCTCAGCACCTCCAGCACCGTCTCCGGGGGCAGGTCGACCAGTTGCTCCCACACGGACTCCGTGTAGAAGTCCACGGTGTGCGCATTGGAGATGGGCAGGGCCTGCCTCAGGAACCGCAGCAGCCCCTGCAGCCGGGCGCGCAGCGCGGGCAAGTCCTGCGCCGCCGGCAGCGGGCTGGAAGCCGCCATGACGCTCCCCAGCCCGAGCTGTAGATGGCGCCAACGGGGACGCGAGGCGGGGGCTCCGCGGAAAGTCGCACAGGCCGGATCAGTCGAGCTCCGATCCAACACTGCGGTTGGGCGATGGATTGCTTCCGCCTGGTGACGTGCTTTGACCGCGTCCGTTGTGATTTTCTTTCCGGCGACGCGCTGGGTACTTCATGGCGCCCACGAGGCCGGCGCCGGGGCGGCGGACGGCGAGTTGGGGGACGCCGGGCGGAGGGTTTTCTCCGCTCGGATTCAAGAATAAGAATGCGAAACAGAGGACGTGGCGACCGAACCACGCGCAGGCCTTCGCGGGGAGCGTTCGCGAGGGTAAGAAGGCCTTTAACCCGGGGAGGGGGGGGGAGCGGGACTTAGGACCTGGGCCAGGCCCTCCCCGGGCGGAGGCGTCCTCCCTCGGCCCGCTGAGCCCTGGGGTCTCAGCTCCGGCAGGAAGACGAGGCAGGGTGGGTGAGCGTCTCTTTTTTTTTTTTTTTAAATACATTTTATTGATTTTTTACAGAGAGGAAGAGAGAGGGATAGCGAGTTAGAAACATCGATCAGCCGCCTCCTGCACACCCCCTACTGGGGGGATGTGCCCGCGACCAAGGTACATGCCCTCGGCCGGAATCGAACCCGGGACCCTGGAGTCTGCAGGCCGATACTCTGGTTTCGGCTGGTGACCGTCTTTCTCCATCTCCTCCCACTTACCCTCCGTTCTCGTTCAGAACTCCTCCACAGTTTCCCACGAGGGCCTAAGCAGAGCCCCTGCGGTGCCGTGGTGGGTGTGTTGTGTGTACACCTACCTGGGGGCGGGCCCTGACGGAAAAGGATGGAAAGGACAGGCCAGACGTCTGCCCCACACCCTTGCTGGCTGCATAGAGCCCAGAGCCTTCCAGTCTGCTCTTACGGGTCTTCCTTTCCTTGGCTCTGGTTCGTGGCTGTCACTTTGTCCTGTTGTCTGTAAGTTTCCCGCAGAGCTCATACGTCTTAAGTTCAGGTATCTATCTGTTCCGAATGTCACGCACCATCTTTCTTGTGTTGAGCTGCTTTTAAAAGTAAGTCGTGCAGTAGTGTCTCTAAGGTAAAATAATAGTTGTGAGCTGTATTTTTTTTTTAAATCAATCTTTATTGTTCATATTATTACAAAGGTTCCTCATTTCTTCCCCCCTCCACCAGGTTCCCACCCCACCCTCCGCCCCCTCCCCATCCCCATTGTCCTCATCCATAGGTGCAGTTTATGTTCAGTCTCTTCTTCCCTCCCTTTCCCCAATAGTAAATCCCTTTTCAGATAGTAAATCAGTTACTTAGCATTTTCTTAAATCAGTAATACCTCCACATGCCCAATGATACACTTCACACAAAAGACATTTCCCAATAGGTCCACCAGCCTCATCCAGGCCCCACCCAAGGCACTCACAGATCAACACCCCAGCCCTAAAGTAACTCAACACATCCAGAACTAAGCCTTCATCACTTGATTCAGCAGACCCTCAAGTTCCCACGAAAGTTTCCAGCCATGTCTGAGAGGCAGCCGTGGGGCAGGGGCAGGCGAGGAGCGAGCTGTTCCGGGCCTGGCTGCTCCGGGCCTGGCCTCTGTTGCTCTGGTTCATTCCACAACCAGCTGCTCCGGGTCTGGTCACTGCCGCTCCCGACCTAGTTGCTCTGGACTTGGCTGCTGCTGCTCCGGGCCTGGCCGTGAGCTGTATTTTTTTAAGGCTTTTTTGAAGACCTAGTTGGATTAAGGAATTTGTTTAGATTTCTGAGGGCAATAAACTGGAGTCGGGCAGCGCTCTCTAAGTCAGTCGTGTTGCCTTATTTGAGATTCTTACTTGAAGTGTCTTCATGACTAAGTTTGCAAAGAATCAACATAACTGTTCACTCCGTTAGTTTAAACTTGTTTTCTTGAAACGACCTTTCAAAGCAAAACAAAGCAATTCTGGCATCTGAATGCGATGATGGAAAAGTCACAGCTACATTTTTTCATGCCACTTGTTTTCTGAGAAAAGTAATTACCGTTTTATGTTCTTCAATGTAGGACAAGGCTTTGCATTTCGAAGAAAATTGAAGATTCAGAAAAATTACAAGAAATTGCTATGGCGGAAAAACAAGGCTCAAACCTCACAGGAATCCCAATTCAGAGATCGATACCCCGATCACCTGAAGCATCTTTATTTGGCCGAAGAGGAAAGGCTGAGGGAGCAGCGGAGGAAAGCTCAGCAGCCTTTGTCAGAAGAACAGGTGAATCAGGCTTTGCCCACAGAACCATGTGACACTGACCAGGCTTTGTCTGAAGAGCATTGCAGCGTTGACCAGCCTCAGCCAGGAGAACAATGTCAAGAAGAAAGGGTAAAGTATGTATTTTCTCATTGTGAAATTCTTTGTTTTAAGCTTAAGTAGTATTTTATGAAATTAGACAATGTAGAAATTGAAATTGTTATTTGATGGATTTTAGAAGTCACAGTGTAATTAGGCAATAATTTTTTCATGGAGGCACTTTTTTTCATGTTAAATGACTGAATTAGGGTAGGTTAGCTTAATTAAATAAGTAATGGAATGGGTATTAAAATATCTGGGTTTTAGATTTCAGCCTTTCAAGTACATTTAACTTACTTGGACTGTGGTTAATGCCTGTTGTTAATATATGGGTTGTTTTGTTTTTTTAAACTAATTTTTGAGAGGTACAGTTTGGTGATTAACAGCATGAATGGACTCAAGCTGGACTTCTCTAAAATGGAAATTATAAGTATTTAATTCAGAGTTGCCATGTTGTACCTTTCCAGAATGAATTATTCTCAGACTCTGGTGTTAGACTCTATTGTGACATTGTAAATACCAAATGAGTTCATTTGTTCTAAAGTACTTTAAAAAAGTATATGGTATATAAGAAGTACCATGTGTTAGCTACTATTATTAATTTAGATACCCCCCCCCCCAGGATATAAATTTAGTATCAATTCAAAAAGAAACAATATAGCACCATACACTTTGGTTTTATAAATGTTAACTTATAAATCTTTCTCTGCACATATCTCAAGTTAAAAAAAAGATGCTAAAACTTGAACTTGCAGAGAAGCTAGGTGTTACCTGGGACCATAATCTTTAACTTCACTAAAATTCTGTCCTTTCAAATTGGAGCTATTTTTGCTAAGCATAATAGGTACTTGGAACCCAGGAAAGATTGTAGTTGGGGATGAAGACAGAGACACTAAAAATTCAGCTTTTCAGTACGTTTGTCCATCAATGGATGTAAAGGTTGGCAAAAAAAAAAAAAAAAAAAAAAAAAAAAGCACTAGAATTGGAGGAATGGATCGTTTGTATTGATAATTGAAGTGAGGAAAGTTTAATCATGACACAAAATTCTTTGTTTAAAATAGTATTTATTTATTTATTTTTTAATATATTTTATTGATTTTTGTACAGAGAGGAAGGGAGAGAGATAGAGAGTTAGAAACATCGATGAGAGAGAATCATTGATCAGCCACCTCTTGCACACCCCCCACTGGGAATATGCCCACAACCAAAGTCTAAAATAGTATTTAAAGATTTCTTATTTTGAAGGGAAATGTCACTGAAGAAGTTAAATAGAACTGCCTTAATTGGAGAAAGAGGGGAATACAGTGACAGCTTTCTCAATACAGGAAAATTGTGCATAGTAGGGATTGGTCAACTCAAATACTAGAAAGTCCAAGAAAACAAGATTGAGAGCAGGTCTTCTGGGTTTGTGCTCTAGGCAATTATTAGTGATCTAGTAAAGATTTTCAATAGATAACCCTGATGGATATGATTTCTAAGAACAACATGGGAACCAAAGAGAGAAACACTTGGGGGAAACCTGGGGTTAGAAAGAGAAAGAGGCTCTAGCATAGCACGCCAAGAAGGAGCAGTTAGAAAGGATCAGGGCGAAAGGATGTCACCAAAACTAATGGAATGGAATTTTCAAAAATAGTGAGTAGTCAATTAATGAAACTGAAAGGTGCCCATTGACCTGATCATCATATTTGGCTAGAAGGCCATTACTGTTTTGGGATGGGTAGTGTGATTACCATGTGAGAGCAGAAATCAGATTGCAGAGTTCAGTGAATATGAAGTGCCTATCTTAGCCTATGCACTATTCTTTCTAGATACTTGACCATGAAAGGATGAGGAATAAGAGATTGGTAGTTAGAAGAGGATCTAGAGTTTGGTGATGGATAATTAGTCATTTGTTTACTTTAAGAAGGTAGGTACTGAAATATTTTATACTGTGTTTATGAAGTTGATATAGTGAAAAATTGAGAGACAGAAAAAAGGAAGATTATTAATGAATCGGATAGCCTGAGGAAATGGATGGAGTCTGGGTCCAAGTGGTTGAATTATCTGTGACAGGGTGGGAATACCTTCAGAGACTTGAGAAGTACTTCAGGATAGAATAGTTTGCCCTGATCAGTGTGGCTCAGTGGTTGGAGTGTCAGCCTACGCACATAAGGGTCATGAGTTCCATTTTCAGTCAAGGGCACTTTGTGGTTCACGGTCCAACCCAGGGTTGCCTCTGGGAGATAGCAAATCTCTACCTCCGTGTCCCCTCTCTTTCTCTCTATCCCTCCTCTTTTCTTCCTCCCCTCCTTTCTTCCTTCTATCTCTGAAAAATAGTGGAAAAAATATCCTCAAGTGAGGGGAAAAAAACAAAAGATAGAATAGTTCTAAGTGGACTTGTGGTCATTTATGAACAAGTAGGTAGAGTAGAATAGAGATGAAGTGGTCAAAGAACTTTGGGATTAAAATTCATGTCCATCTACAACTTCCGTTATGACCTTTAATTGAATGCCTTCAGTCTGTCATTCCTGCCACTCATATGTTTCCTGTTGTGTTTTTTAGTGTGTGTGTGTGTGTGTGTGTGTGTGTTTACATCCTAGTATCTTTCAAATCTTTCTATATTTTCCCTGGTTGAAATATTTCTCCAAGAGTCTCCAGTTACCCCTTGTAATCTATCTTGAAAGTTATAACTATATTTTTAATACTGTTATTTGTATATTTTATCAATAAGATTAACGCCCTCTTTCTTTCCTCTTATCTCTTCCCCCTTCTATTTATTTGCATTAGTGAGATTTTAATATACAAGTACTATATTTGACATATTTGTCATAATTTCAGTTATATTGTTTTTAATCTTTACATATTATTTTTCTTTATCTTATAAAGCTTCATTACTATTCCAAAGAAAAATAAAAAGAAAACATCAAATCAAAAAGCACAAGAAGAATATGAACGGGTACAAGCTAAGCGTGCTGCTAAGAAACAAGTAAGATCTTTAAAAATATTCAGATTCCTATTTATGCTACATGTATATATAATCTGTGTTTCTTAGTGTGGGGTATATAGTATGCCCTCTGTAAACATTTATTGAATGTATATCAGAGTTGGAGAATTTTAACATATTCAGATTCCTTAATTGTTTATATTATTCTTGAGAAGTGGTCAGAAATAGAATGTTAAAGATATTGCTTAGAGGTTAATGACATGAGCTTCTGGGATAATGTTTACTAAGAGTTTGGTCTAGGAACTGGCACTTTTAACAAGTACCTCAAGAGATTCTTATGAATAATAAAATTTGAGAACCACTGATCTAAGAAAAATATAGATTACTTGCATAATTTTACATTGAAGCAACTAAAAGCCAGAGGGGGAGGTGAATACAGTATTTCTTTACTGTAAAGAGTTAATCTTGCTGATTAAAAAGCCAACTAGAGCCCTGCCAGGAAGCCCAGTTGGTTGGAGTGTCATCCAGATACACTAAGGTTGCAGGCTCGATCCCCAGTCAGAGTATATACAGCAAATAACCACTGAATGCATAAATAAGTGGAACAACTTATCGATGTCCCTTCCTCCCTCTTTTTCCCTCCCTTCCTTTTTCCCTCTTTCCCTCCCTCCCTCCTTCCCTCCGTCCCTCCTTTCCTCTCTTCCTCTCTCAAAAATAAAATAAAAAGTTTAAGACATTAACTTAACAAAACATTACCACTCTCTGTAATCATTCAGAAACCCACAGTTAGAATAGACATTTTCTAATAAGGAAACAAAATTATCTACAACTTAAACAAAATCGGCATTTTGGTTAATCTGGTTAACTCTGAGTTTTTATATTGAAGTTTTATTAATTTAGCACTTTAAAAAAGATAGCATATCAGTGATGGCACTGATTTAGAATTTTTTTGTGTGTTTTGGATTTAGAATTTGGGAATTTTTGAAAGTTTCATATCTAAAATTTTGTGATTATTTGTAAACCGGTGGCAGACCAGAATGAAGCAGAAACATTTCACCATGGAAATAGTTTCATAGCTTATTACTTTCTGCTTTTTTCCTAATCAAGCATCTGATATCTGCCACCTTTGGAAACAGTATACCAGATGAAGTACAATAAGGACTTTTGTACTGTCAAGCATTTAATGTCTTAAATTTTCTTTACATAGATAAATGCTAGGACTTTATAATTATGAAAATTGACAGTCTCTTAGATTTCAAATGTTAATACCCAGCATCATTACTTATGAAAAATCAAAATTGAGAACATTAATTAAATAAGAACCATAATTGATAGTAAGACTACATTCTTTTTAGTTTGTTTAGTGAAATCCATATACCTAAATTCCCACAAGTAAGTCCCAAATCTTTATGTGCTTTTTAAAATAAAAGAGATACCATACCATATAAGAACAAGTTTAAGTGACAGTGTGTAGCATAATGGAGAATTGCTCATACTTTGAATTCATAAGATCTGGATTTGAGACTTGGCTGTACCAGTTATTTGGAATTTGGGGCAGATCACTTTTCATATCACTGAGCATTAGCTCCTTGTCTGTAAGATGAAGATAAAAAACCTAGATAACACTTTTAAAGAATGAAATGTACTATGATGTATGTGAAAGTACTTGGTTAGATATGAGTGACCATACAAATTTAAGGCTGTGTCATTTGGGGGCTATATGTGTTACAGGGGAAATTGAAAAATAGTCCATATATTGCATTATTAAAGAACTTTTGTTTAATTTTTATATTTGATTTTGTAAATATTATAGTACACTTTAAGGAGTGCTTTTTGGATCTATACGCTATATAACGGGATCGTTTTCCTTAGATTCAAATGAACTTGAGTCTTTCTCTTAGCAAATGAAATGAGTGTTTAAAAATCATAATGCCTAGTATAGTGTTTTACACATGTATGGTATGTAGCCAAACATTTTTCTGGAATTAAATCTGTCGGGTGGCAAATTAAAAAGAATATGAGATGTTCTGGAAATGAAGGTTTTAGTGTTACATGACTAGATAAAGTCACTTTTAACTCTTCAATGGGTCTAGTTAAATGATGAAATCATTTCATAAATATGCTTTGTGTGCTCTGACTTCATTTGCATACATATAATTAAAATTATTTAATAACTATGTAATAGCATGTATTATGGTGCATACGCTTTGCCTTTTAACATTTTTGAAAATAAGAGATTCTTTTAATATTTTGAAAATAAAAGAGACAGACCTAAAGTTTTAGCATGGTGATACCTGTTTCAACACAATTTTGGAACTATATTTACTGTTTGTTACTAATGAAAATTACATATGTTACTTTCAGGAATTTGAGAGGAGAAAGCAAGAGAGAGAAGAAGCGCAAAGACTCTACAAAAAGAAGAAAATGGAAATGTTTAAAATATTGAGCAAAAAGACTAAAAAGGGCCAACCAAACTTAAATTTACAGATGGAGTATCTTCTAAAAAAAATACAAGAAAATAATTAAATCAGACACTTTATATTAAATCAAGAGTTAAAATACTGCTGCCTATTGAGTTCTTTTGTATATGTAATATACTTCCTAACAGTTCACTGGGTTTGTCTATATAAACTGGATTGCTAAGCTATACTAAATATAAAATGTCCAAAATTTTTTGTTCAATTATATAAAGGAAAATTTTCTACATATACTCTGTATATCATTTGCTTTCTATTTATTTGCCCCTGAAGGAAGGGTGGCTTGAGTGACTAAAAGAACCTGCTATTTGGGTGACAGTACTTTTGTACCACATAATTCAGATAAAAATGTTTTTTTAAATGGAGCAGAGCTTTAAAAAGAGCATTTCAATGAAAATTTTCAATTTAGTAAACAACTGTTACAGTTTTAAAATTCATTTTAATAATGGCAGTGATTCTCGGACGTTTTTATTTATTTATTTATTTTTAGACTCAGCACACGTTATAGGGGAATGGGCTTTCTAGAAACCTGAGAGCACACTGATATCTTCTGTCCCCACCGTTTATCTCTGAGGCATTTCATAAAGCAGAGTTTGGTGTAAAAACAGAGAGCCTGATACTTATAAACATTCCCAAAGTGGGAATACATAGCTTATTAGTGTAAGATCTTGGGAACTTGCAGTGTTATACCAATAATTAAGCTTTCCAGATCATGTTATTGTGTGAGACACTGTCACTGAAACATTACTGTGTTATCTCTATGTATACTTGTGAACCGAGACACGGTGCTAAAATACTGCTTCTCCTGCCTCCTTGTAATCTGCAAATGAGAAAGCCTTCACTATCATCATTTTAAAATATATATATATTTTATTGATATTTTACAGAGAGGAGGGAGAGAGAAACATCGACCAGCTGTCTCTTGCACACACCCTACCGGGGATGTGCCCACAACCAATGTACATGCCCTTGACCGGAATCGAACCTGGGACCTTTCAGTCCACAGACTGACGCTCTACCACTGAGCCAAACCGGTTTTGGCCACTACCATCATTTTAAATATTTATAAGACTACATAATAAAGTCTATAAAATAATAAGAGAGACAGCCTGAAATTGCATTAAGATTTGAGGAGTCCTTGCATTCTACAGATCACTCCACATTTAAAACTGTAATAGATGCTGAGGAAGCAACTTACTAAAGAAAGGCGATCTTTTATTGCAGTGAAAAAAAAAAATGCTTAGAAATTTTCAGTGCATAATATTGCATTTAAAATAACTCAGAGAACCTACATTTGGCTACATTAATGAAGACGGTACATTATGAAGCAGAGTAAAATAATTATTTTGCTTGTGTTTTACTTCTAGACACTTTTATCAGGGTAGGACAGAACATAGGAAATAAAGTCCTTTTCAGAGTAAAAATTAAGTTCATTTTAACAAGTTTGTTGTTGAGCAGTTGCTATATATATGCAAGGTCAAGGTTAAGGAGTTACTCATTTAAAAAAAAAAAAGATTCTCCAAAGATCTAGAGCAAATGCCTAGTAAGGTTATTGGACAAAAAAAAATCAGTAATGATCAGGTACAAAACAAAGACGGACTTGAGTGACCAGAGAATCACCTAGAAAGCCCTGCCCCAAGATTTGGATAGCATTGATGCGCTCAGTAATACATTTTTTAATAACTACTAAAGTAGACATTCTGTTGTGGTTGGTCTTTAGACCACACTTTGCAAAGCATTGGACTCAGGCCTCAGAAGAGAGGCTTCATTTCATTGAAGACACCAGGGAAAGTTTCATGGGTGAGATGGCATGTGAGAAAAGCCTGCCAGAATGAGAAGAGAATTAGACGTGACAGCATGAAGGAAATTACAAAGGCAACAAAACTTCACAGTGAATTTAGAAGTCTTTATAAAGAGTAGTTATGTTACATGTATATTATTACTGATTGGGGAATCACACTCTAGTTCTCATTCCTGTTGTTTCCTTCCTTATGAAGGGGCATCCTTAACCTACTATAGTATCTACTTTTCTGCCCAGAAAGGTAGTGGCTTAATTTTGGGAGGAGGACCTGGCCTGTGAACAGTATGTGTACTCTTGATTACTACTTTTATACTGAAAACGGCAAAGAACAGGCAGTATTGATGGGTAAGGAGGGGGTGGAGATGAAAGAAGCAGGGCAGAAGCAGTGTTTGGTAAAAGGAAACGTCTAAACCTCCCAATTTTTGCTGTATGCTGGAGTACAGTAAGAAGTAAAGCGGGAATGAAATTTGAGGGAACACAATATACAAGTGGAGAAGCATTGGGTGGCCAGAGCTTGTTTCAGACTTTAATGTGTATTCAGGGAGTTTTGATCTTGGCAGTTTGTAGAAGCTTATACTGGGCCATTAATTTTATTTTTATTACTGCAGTAGGCTTTTAATTGCTGTGGTTTCGGCAAGAGGGTTTCAGCCTTAGGGCATGTGAGGTTTTAACATGAAATGTAAGGTAGATTTGTCCACAGGAAATTGGTTATTTCTGGAGATGGTGAAATACTGAGCCTTAAGCGGAGAAGTGCACAGACCTCAACAAAGGAGCAGGGTTGGGGCATGGGAGTGTGGAGACACAAGATCCAGCAAAGTCACAGAATGTGTCACTGGCTCACACATATGCTGGCTTCCTGGATGGCTGCAGCCAGTGCCAGCTAAGATGAGACTGAGCTGCCCTGGCTTTGCTGGCATTAACAGGCATGGGCATGGTTAGGCAGCTTTCAGGGTGCAGCCTTGACCTTGACCTACATTTCAATTCATTAGAGGCTGCAGGGGCATGGGAAGCAACTCATTTGAGGAAAGGATTTAATATTAAAAAATACTGTAGATGTGCTAAACATTAATGACTATCAATATTTGCTACTTTAAATTTCAAGGCAGAAGACTTGTATGCCATACGGATTTTAGAGAAGTTCAGGTTTAAATTGCTCATGCCAGTCATTAAAAACACTTTACCCAGTCTGTCCTAATTAAGTGGAATGACCGACTGGATGTCCTTCCAGACAAAGTCAGGGCTGCGAGGGCCAAGGCAGCCAGAGCTGAGAAGGCCTACTCTTGCACGAATTTTGTGCATCGGGCCTCTAGTATATAATACTAATATAACAAATAAGGCAACTAGTAGAAGGAGATGACTTGGGTTGAAAAATGTTCTTTGGATGTATACCTAAGTGGCCTTCAAATGACCTGTTCACATCAGTGAGTTAAAGTGGATCTGCAATATCATCCACTCCTGCCATCCTTAAGAGAAAGTCTTCCAACAATTCTGCTTAAGTTAATTACCAGGGCAGTAGATTTTGATGTATATTAAAATCTGAGTTCATTTGAAACAATAGCATAGTATTTATATGACTTGCATTTTATGCTTTCATAATGAGAAGAGCTGACGTTTTTGAGTTTGGCTCCTGATAATGTTGAAAATGTGGCAAATGCTTCCAGATTAGACATTGAAATAGTAGTCATACACTTTTAGGCCTTCCTGTGCTCACGAACATTTACTTCATACGGATTTCATGAAAACATAATAGTAAATATAATTTAGAAAATGGGAACATATGAGATTAAATACTGCTTAATTTTTTATTTAAGGTCACACAACAATTTGGTTTCTTTGCTAGAAACAGAAACTCAATTTCCTAACATTCACCCCAAGCTGCTATATGAATAACTCTAGAAATTCCGTCTGTAAAATTTCAATCAAGACAGATGTATTTAAGCTCTTTGAAAACTTTGCTTGCTCTGTAATTCCAGATTTCAGACTGATTATTCTATCTTAACTTACACTTTCTTTGACAGTACATGCTGGCATTGCACGTGGCACTCTTTTGGCGTAACCATGACATACATACATTCAAATAAATAATGTTCCAGTCTCAACTGACTCATCTGGGTCAACCAATATGGTCTTCCTAAAATACACATGAGCGGCCCTAGCTGGCTCATTGGCCTGCAGACTGATGGGTCCTGGTTTGATGTGGTTTGGTTCTAGTCAGGGGCACATGCCTGGGTTGCAGGTTAGATCCCCAGCGGGGGGTGTGCAGGAGGCAGTTGATCAATGATTCTCATCATTGATGATTCTATCTCTCCCCTATCCCTCTCTGAAATCAATAACAATATTCTTTAAAAAGCACAAATGATTTTTTAGCTAGCAGTATTGGGAAGAGTAAGCTTTTCTAGTTTCCTTTTTTTTAATGGCACTCATACCTTTAGGTACTCATATAACATTCTATGAAATTTGAATGTTTGAAATTTGGAGTCAGCAGAAATTTGTTTGAAATTTGAAATTTGGAGTCAGCAGAAAAGAAGGAATAGGAAAAACATTTAAAATCATATTAAATGTTTGCATGGAAATTACTCACATTTCTACTACTTACAAGTTGTGTGACTTTGCAAAATGACTTTCTGTCTCTGTGCCCCAGTTGGCCTATCAGTAAAATAAGCATAATAGATTCTACAATGAACAAAACAAAATAATGAACAAAATATACTCAGAGATGCAGAAGCATGGAACAGACTGTTGTTGAATCTCAGAGGGAAGATAGGGGTGAGTGGGAAGAGATCAACCAAAGAACTTGTATGTATCTATGCATAACCCATGGACACAGACAATAGGATGGTGAAGGCCTGAGGTGGGAGGCAGGGGCAGGCTAAAAGGGATCAATGGGGGAAAAGGAAACATATGTAATCTTTCAACAATAAAGATTTTTAAAAGATTAAAATGAGCATAATAATATAGGTTTACAACTTATTTCCTAAAACCTTTTGGTCCAAGGATATTTCAAATTCAGAATGTTTTGATTTTTAAATAGGTAACTTAGTGCAAACTTTATATATTTATATAATAGTCACAGCAGAGTCTCAAGAACCATATTAAAATTGTTGCAGCAAAATTAATTATTCAAGCTGAAGGATAATTTAAGAATATAAATATGTTCATTTCAATTTTTATCAGATTTCTACTCATGTGAGAAAAAACACACACAAAGTTTTCAGAAACATGTGCTTTCAAATTGCCGTAGACCTGAA